TTCCTTCCTTTTTTTCATCATCTTCCTTCCTCTCCCCTTCCCTCTTTCCGTCTCAGTTTCCTTCCTTCCTTCTTTCCTTTCATCATCTCCTCCCTCCCACTTCCCTCCTTTCTTTCTTTCTTTCCTTCCATCCATCTTCCTTCAATCTTTCTTTCTTCCTCCTCAATTTCTTTTCCTTCCTTCCTTCTTTCCTTTCCTTCTTTCCTTCCTTCCTTCTAGGATAGCAAGGTCTCTAATGCTGGTAACCTTCCGGCTCCCTGCCCCACGCTCCACCTCCTCTCCCACTAATCCTTTCCTTCCTCCAGATCGATTTCGTCGCCCACGATGACATCCCCTATTCCTCAGCCGGCAGCGATGACGTCTACAAACACATAAAAGAAGCAGGTGGGTCACTTCCCTGTGGAAATTCCTCCGGGCTCCGACCTCCTCTTCTCCGTACTCGGCAGCTCTGGCTAAACGAACCGCTTGGGCTTCTACCTGAGGATCCGAGAATCCTATGAGCTTCTGGGCGCAACCTGCCCCTGGGCTGAACTTTCCTGGAAATCAGGTGTCAGGGCTCCAACAAATCCACCCCCATTCAAATCATAAGTCTCTAGCCGCATCTCTCAAGAGTAAAAAAAAATTGATTTATTAGGAGCGGCCATGTCGGCGTTAGCTGGGTGCAGCCGACACTAAAATACATCGTTCATTTCCCCCCTTGACCCTGGTCTTCCACCCAACCCCTGGATGTATATTCTCCAATGGGACACATCCATAGCCAAGAGTCATCAATCATGCTCTCCAGTAATATTCCTGCACGCCGACAGCTTTGGGCTGCCAGGGGGATTATCTAGGCACTTAAGGAATGCACTGTTCCCCCCTACTCCCTTTTCCTGACAGCTCAAAAGACCAAAGGGGCATCTTTTTAGTCACCGCTGACAATCTTAACGGGGGCTTATTTTTTGGGGGGGTAGGGCTTATATTACGAGCATCCTGAAAAATCACCCTAGGGCCTATTTTCCAGTTTTACTACCCAGCTAAGGAACATCGTCCGTACTAGAAGGGAAGCGGGATTGGCAAAGTCTAAAGAGGAGAAGGAGGAAAAAGAAGAGGGAGGAGAACTGTGGGAGTTCTTGGTCCTCTCCGAGCTTGGTAGCTTCCTTGCGGGCGTTTTCATGACCCAACTCGATAACGTCCTCAGTGCTGGAAGAGAGTGGTGTGTTTGTGGAAAGGAGGAGGAGGGAGGAGGAAGAGGAGAAGAGGAGGAGGGACTGTGGGGTCCTTGGGTCCTCTCTGAGCTGGGTGGTTTTCTTGCAGACATTTCATAACCCAACTAGGTAACATCATCAGTGCTAGAAGGGATGGGGGGTTGTTGAGAAGATGGAGGAGGAGGAGTGTGTTTGTGGAAAAGAGGAGGAGGAAGAGGAGGAGGAGAAGAAGGAATGGGGTGCCCTCTTTTCTTGCAGGCATTTCATGACCCAACTAGGTAACATCATCAGTGCTAGAATGGAGTGGGGTGTGGGGAGGAGGAGGAGGAAGGAGAAGGAGGAGAGGAGGAGGAGGACTCCGGGGTCCTGGGTGCCCTCTGATCTGGGTTATTTCCTTGCCCCTGTTTCATGACCCAGTGGTGTAACGTCATCAGGACTCAAAGGGAATGGGGGTTTTCTCTCTGTTTACGCACGTGTGGCTCGCTCTGCCAACGCTGGTGGGAATTCTTCTTCGAAATCCTCTCTGGGAAGGGGAGCCGGCCTCCTTCCCACCTTGTATCCACCTTGAGCCTTTGTTGGGTGCCCTTCTTGACTCCTGTCCTTCCCTCCTCGGGCCCCCGTAGGAATGTTCGCCCCCACGCAGAGGACCGAGGGCATCTCCACCTCGGATATCATCACCCGCATCGTCCGGGATTACGACGTCTACGCCCGGAGGAACCTGCAGCGGGGCTACACGGCCAAGGAGCTCAACGTCAGCTTCATCAACGTGAGTTTTTTTATTTTTATATATAAAAAAAAAATATTTCCATTTTCCACGTGAAGGAGGAAAAAAAAAACCATCTCTTTTTAGTGAACAGCACAATCCCAGGTTTTCATATCTCCGTACAGACATAGTTTAGTTTACACATTTGTTTTTTCACGTTTCGGTTCATATCATATCTCTCCTTGACGTATATTTTATAGTTTCTCACAAATAGGCTTGTTTGTAAACTTTCCATTCATCCCTTAACCTATTTTCTTTTAGCTTTCAATAATTCTCACATCATCGTATTTCATTAGGCTGATGCTCTTATCTGTCGTTGGTTACAACTTCATCGCGTATACTCAGCGTGAGTTTTTAGCGGGCATTCAGGACGGGCGTCTCGCCTCGCGCTGGTGGCCAGAGGGAGGTTCACAACCCCCCCTCCACCCTCTCAGTTTAAAAAAAGGGGGGTGGAATGGAAACAGGGAAACAAGCAGAAGGGATTTTCAAGGGATACTGAAAAGTTGCGAGAGAGAAACATGGTTTTGTTGCATTCATGGTCCCAAAGGTGTATTCCACCATTTCTTTGATGTTTGTGTAACTCTTGTCGTCCCAAAGGTGTTTGTTTTTTTTTTTTGCAAGAGGCCACTGGACTTTCTGTTTTGTTTTTGTTTTTTTCTTTTGAAGATGTTTTGCTTCTCCTCTAAGAAGCTTCTTCAGCTCTGACTGGAATGGTGGGGAAGGGAAGGATTTATATTCCATGCAGACAGCTGGTCATTTGCATCCTTTTTAGAGGGTCGTTGAGGCCACTTGGAGGTTCGTCTGCGTCCTCAGGGTCACCTGAGTGGTGCAAACCTCCAAATGCTTCAAGGAAGAAAGGAAGGGAGGGAGGGAGGAAGGAAGGAGGAAAGGAAAGGGAAAGGAGGGAGGAAAGGGAAGAAAGGAAGGAGGAAAGGGAAAGGAGGGAGGGAGGGAAGGAAGGGAAAAGAGGAAATGAAAAGGAAAGGAGGGAGGAAGGAAGGAAGGAGGAAAGGGAAAGGAGGGAGGGAAGGAAGGGAAAAGAGGAAATGAAAGGAGGGAGGAAGGGAAGGAAGGAAGGAGGAAAGAAGGGAAAGAGGAAGGAGGGAAGGAAGGAAGGAAAGGTAATAGGTGGAGGGAGGGAGATTGAATCTAGATTCAGAGGGAGTTGAATCTAGCACTAAGGAGAAATTTTCTGTCAGTGAGAAGAATTAACCAGTGGAACAACTTGCCACCAGAAGTTGTGGGTGCTTCATCACTGGAGGCCTTCTTTATTCTATGATTCAGAAGGGAAGGAAGGAAGAAAGGGGGGGGAGGGAAGGAAGGAAGGAAGCCCCCCCTAGGGCAGCAGAATCCTTCCTACCCCCCCCCCATGCCCCCCCAACGAAGGGGTAGCTCAGCTGATGATCCCCCCCCACTTCCCGGTAATCCTTTTGAACCCCCTTTTGTCTTGTGCAGGAGAAGAAGTACCACTTGCAAGAGAGAGTGGACAAGGTGAAGAAGAGGGTGAAGGACGTGGAGGAGAAATCGAAAGAATTCGTCCAGAAAGTGGAAGAAAAAAGCATCGACCTCATTCAGAAGTGGGAAGAGAAATCGCGGGAATTCATCGGGAACTTCTTGGAGATGTTCGGCCCCGAAGGCGCCTTGGTAACTTGTGTGTCTGTGTGTTTGTGCGTGTGTGTGTGTGTGTGTGTGTGTGTGTGTGTAAATCCCGGCTACCATTCCTGTACAGTCTCAGGGTTTGTGAGTTTGCTCCCATCCTGCCTGTGTTTAGCTGTATTAAGTAGTCCTCGACTTATAACTGTTCATTTCGTGGCCATCCGAAGGCACAGGAAAAAAAAAAGGGACTTAACTCCTGTTCTTCACACTTAACGACGGTTTTGTCCATTTTGCTCCTTCCTGGAAAAATAAGTTGAATGCCCTCTGGGGATTCTCGTTCACATCCAGGTCATGGGTGTCAAACTCGAGGCCCGGGGACCTGGATCCAACCCGGGGGGGTGGGTGGGGAGGGCTTAGATCTGGCCCAGGGTGCCTTTGCAGGCAAAAACTCCGCTGGCAGAGGGCTAGCAAAACACACGAAAGGCAAAACCAAAGGGAGAAAGGTTTTCTCCTTTTGCCAGTTGAGCATGCAAGAAGGGGCAGGAAAGGAGGAAGGGGAAGAGGAAAGACAAAAGAAAGAAGGGAAAAGGGGAAGAGAGCAAGAAAGGAGAAAGAAGGGAGGAGGAGGGAGGAAGGAAGGAAAGAAAGGGAAAGGAGGGAGGAAGGGAATGGGAAGGAAGGAAAGGAGGGAGGGAAGGAAAGGAAAGGAAAGGAAAGGAAAGGAAGGAAGGAAGGAAGGAAGGAAGGAAGGAAGGAAGGAAGGAAGGAAGGAAGGAAGGAAGGAAAGGGAAAGGAAGGAGGAAGGGAATGGGAAGGAAGGAAAGGAGGGAGGGAGGGAAGGAAAGGAAGGAAGGAAGAAAGGAAGAAAGGAAAGGGAAAGGAAGGAAGGAAGATTATAATGAGAGGAAGTTTCTCCCTTTTGCCAATTGAGCATGCAAGAAGGGATAGGAAAGGAAGAAGAGGAAGAGGAAAGACAAAAGAAAGAAGGGAAAAGGGGAAGAGAGCAAGAAAGGAAAAAGAAGGGAAGAGGAGAAGGAAGGAGGAAGGAAGGAAAGAAAAGGAAAGGAGGGAGGAAGGGAATGGGAAGGAAGGAAAGGAGGGAAGGAAGGAAGGAAGGAAGGAAGATAGATTATGAGAGGGAGTTTCTCCCTTTTGCCAATTGAGCATGCAAGAAGGGATAGGAAAGGAAGAAGGGGAAGAGGAAAGACAAAAGATAAAGAAGGGAAGAGGGGAAGGAAGAAGAAAGGAGAAGGAAGGAAAGAGGGGAAGGAAGAAGAAAGGAGAAGGAAGGAAGGAAGG